CGAGCGGGAGGCGGGACGGGGCGGGGAGAGCGGCGGGGCCGGCGGGAGGACGCGCGGCGCACCCGGCGGACGCCGCAGGTCCCATGCCGCGCCGCGACCCCCGCGCCCCTGCCCGCGGCCGCCCCCCGCCGCCCGGCGCCCCGGGCTCGCCGCCCCGCGCCCGCGCCTCCCTCCAGGGGTCCCCGAGCGATGCCCGCTGGGCGCCCGCGAAAGTTTGCCGGCTGCGCTGAAGGGCAGCGGCGCCCCCGCGCCCGCTCCGGCCAGGTGAGTGCGTGCTGCCCCGGCGGGCTGGGGGTGGGGTGCGGGCTAGAGGTCGTGGCGGGGAGGCCCCGCCGGGGACCCGGTGCCGGGCGCTCCTGGAGGAGCCCGGGAGCCCCCGGGGAGCCCCGCGGCGGCCGCGAGAGGGCCTGGCCCGGCGAGGAGCTCGAGCCCCCCGGGCGGGGAAGTTGCCCGGGCCAGAGTTTCCTGCCCGACGTGCGCGCCCTTCCCGGAGCTTTGCTTTCTGGAGGCAGAGTTGGTCTGATCTGCGAGGAAAGGGAGGTGGTCTCCGCTGCCCGGGCCGGCGAGGGGGTGCAGGCCTGGGGTGGGGGGAGACACCACGGGGGGAAGCAGGCTCCTAACAAAGCTCATCCCCCTCCCCCCATACGCCGCCAAACCGTGCAGGCGGCGACCGCCTCCGGAGCCCCCCGGGCCGACCCCTCCTCACCCCAGTTCCCCTTGAACCACTCTACTCCCCCGCCCGGGTTCTGGACAAGTTGGGGGGACGGCGGGCTCGGATTGATCTAGTTGTTGGGGCTGGCCGCGCCGCGGCCACTAAAAGGCTTATGACATCTGACCGGCAGTGAAGGTATGCGAGCTCTGATCGCCCCGTATATGCCGAGCCGGGCAGTTTCCCCGTCGCCTGGCAACGCCGCTGATGGACGCGGGGCGCAGCCAATCACCGCGCCCGCAGGTCCCCTTGAAATGTTTTTGACAAGTACAGTAGACGCTAGTGGGGCGCCGGCCCTCAAACTCCAGGCCGCCGGGCGCGGCGTGGGCATCATTTCTCAAGTTTGTTTTTGAAGTCCATGTCCAAGGGCTGGGCCTTCACGGCGTTGTCAGTTTATTTGGAGGCTTGTTGAGATCATAGAAGAAACCGAGCTTTCCTCCGTTAAAACAAACAAGGAAGCCGAGCAAGTCATTAAAAAAAAAGGCAACTGGAGGTTCTGTGTGTGTGTGTGTGTGTAGGGGGGGCGCGAATCAACCAATTACAAAGCCTAAAAGTTGTAAGGAGGTGGCTCAGGGAATAACTATTTGCGTATCTAGTGGAGTAACCCTATTGGCAGCAGCTTAACGATGTTTGTTCAACTGCAGGCTCACGTGATACCTCTTTAAAATAAGAGGGAAAAAAAGATTTGGCGAATTGTGTCGTTAAGAGTATAATAATGGGAAACTCCTCAGCTGCAGTTTCTGAAACTGGTGTTTTTTGTTTGTTTTAACATGCATGTGTGGTGCTCGGCAGCCCTTCCTCCTGTTGCCGATTCCTGGGGTGCAGTGAGGACCGCACCCCCGGCGGACGACAACCCAGGATGCGGGAGCCCTTCCAGCCCCCACTCCTCGAGGCTGCCATTTTTTCTCATAAAAAGCATCTTGCTGGTAGTGTTTGTTTAAAACAAAAGAAAACATGGAGAATCGCGTGTTTGTTCCTTTGGGAAGCTACCGACAGAAAGGCAAATTAAAAAGAGAGCAGCATGTTGTCATAGCAACAGTGCAATTAAATTACTGTCAGCCATGATATCATTTTTCTGTTGGGAAGCTTAGGAGCCCTGAAACTTTCAATCGGAGCAGTTAAGGTTGACTTTGGTGGCAGCAGTGGTTGTGCCCTGGGGCCGTGGGAGTGTCTGAGTACCCAGAACACCTTCTGATGGGATCTTAGGGAATCTTTGTGGGACTGGATCTTGCTTCCATTCATTTATGTGAAAGTTGGAAGAGGGGTCAGGTTGCACTCTGTGAGGGCCCCAAACCTAAGGATGTTACATTTGTTTTGTTTTCATACCGTGTGTCCTGTAGGGTTCTCACCCATCCGTTTGGCCCAAGGAAGTTCCCTCCTGGATGAGCCCTGAAGCTGCTGTGGCGTGCTTGGAACTTTCCTTAGAAGGAAGAATCTCCTAGCAGCACACCTGCCCCACCTTTCCCATTTCATGGACACTCTGAGCGCCCCTCGTGGTGCTTTCTGGAATCCTATATGGTTTTCACAGCTAGCCTGCTGGTGGTCATTTCAGATACAGTGTTAATGGACATTTAGAGATTAGGAATGATGGTGTCTCTGCTTTTGATGTTTTATTCTTTTTTCCTAGTCCACCACCTGATCTTACTTGGGGGAAATAAATTGGAAGCTGATACCGAGTTAGCTCTACCAAAAGAGGGTGGAGGCTTATCTTCACTGCTCCTGTATCTCCTTGGGGACGGGACTTGCTTGGGTATCTGTAGGGTGGGGTCATTCCATTTGTTAAACTGCTACCTCCTCTTGTTTTCTCAGCAGATATTGCTTCTTTCCTTGTTCTTTGATGAAAACAAATAAGCCAAAAATGGGGCTGGTGGGGAATGGCAGTGATTTCCCTTGAGTTTGCTTTCATGTCTTGGAGTTACCAGTTGCGCTCCTGACGCCTTTGATGAATTCTTTGGTTATTGTAAAGTGAAAAGGCAGAGATCTTTCATCCATTGGCTCATTTGCCAAATGGCCACAATGGCGTGATGAATCGTGGAGCTTGGAATTCCTTCCAGGTCACCGTGTGGATGGACGAAACCCAAGTTCCTGAGTCATCATCTGCTGTCTCGCAGGCATGTTAGCAGGAAGCTGGATCAGAACTGGAGGTGGGGCTGGATTGCAGGTGCTCCTGTGTGAGATTTTGGCATCCCCTGCTTAGCTGGCTATCCTAGTACCACCACACACACCCACCCCTTTTGTTCTCCTGGGTTAGTGCGTTGCCTCAAGTTATTAGCTTTCTCTTTCTGAGTATAGTGTCCAATAGGATGTAGCGCACACTGCTTCCTCCAGCTGGATTCCTCAGAATTTTCAGTTGCCAGATGGAGTCAGCGCTGAAGGTTTTGGTCCTGCCTTTTGTCAGGGCGGGAGGGAGCCATGAGAAGCGGATGGGTGTTTGGGGTGGCTACAGCTCTCGTGCCAAGGCCGTTGGGGTGATTGTCACTGGAAGAAGGCTGAACTTCATTCCAAACAACTGCACTTCAATCCGCAGGTGTTTTCGGCTCCTAAGAAGCCAGGTGAGACCAAGAATAAGTTGCCGGGAGTTATGCGCTGCACCTGCGTGGCAGTATTTACACTGAGACCTGAAGACCACTTCATTGAGTCATCAGGGGGTCGTTGATTCCCTCCCAGGGTCACAGTGAGGGTTTGCATAGATCTAGGGTGAAGGCATGTGAAACTTGCTATTCTTTTATGGGGTATTTGCAAGGTTCTCTAAGTTTTTAAGATGTATTTTATTTTTATTTAAAAGTTGTAGTTACAGAGAAAGAAGGAGACAGATCTTCCATCTGCTGATTCACTCTGCAAAGGGATGCAATGGCTGGGGCTGGGCCAGTCCAAAACTAGGGGCCCGCAGCGTCTTCTCAGGGTTTAGGCCTGCCGTCAGGCCCCAAGGTCTTTGGCCATAAGCAGCACAGAGACAAGCTGGTGAGGAATGTCTGCTTTATAATGCACAGGTTACAGCGTTGAAAGGGCAAGTAAAGAAAGGGCAGGAGGGCAGACACCCCCCCAACCAAAGACACTGTAATTGGCAGTATGACACGTCTGTTTCTCTTGACCTTCTGGTCAGATTTTGACCTTCTAGCCCTGTTGGAGGTCACAGCCCGCCTATAGTCCTGGAAGCTGAGCCTCAGGCCATTGGGTGATAAACTCTAAGCCTCACATACCAGGTAGCAGGGTACTGGCCTGGGGTGATTACCCACAGCTGCTTTTTTTTTTTTTTTTAAGATTAATTTTATTGAAAAGTCAGAGATATAAAGAGGAGGAGAGACAGAGAGGAAGATCTTCGATCCAGGCTGCCATGATGGCTGAAGCTGCATTGATGTGAGTGTGAAGCCAGGAGCCAAGAGCCGCTTCCAGGTCTCCCAAGTGGGTATAGGATCCCAAGGCTCTGGGCTATACTCGACTGTTTTCCCAAGCCACGAGCAGGGAATAAGATGGGAAACAGGGTTGCCGGGATTAGAACAGGCACCCATATGGGATCCTGGTGCCTGTAAGGCAAGGACTTTCGCTGCTAGGCTACCATGCCGGGCTACCCGCAGCTTCTTTTGGGCCTTTTACATGGGTGCAGGAGCATCTTCTGTTGTTTCCCCAAGTACATTAACAGGGATCTGGATGGGCAGTGGAACAGTCGGAACTTGATGTGCTGTTTGTCTGAGAAGCTGATGCTGCAGGCTGAGGCTTAGCTTGTGATGCTGTGGTTCTGGCCCCAGAGATGTGCTTATTTGAATGGTGGAATTACCGAGAGAGGGGGAGAGACAGAACTTCCACGAATGGTTTACTGCCCAAGTGCTGCATTGGCTTCGACTGGACCGGGCTGAAACCAGGAGCCAGGTGTTTCCTCTAGGCTTCTCACATAGGCGAGAACGCCCCCTGCCTTCCCAGGTGCGTCAGCCAGGAGCTGGATTGGAAGTGGAGCAGCTGGGATACAAGCCAGAGCCCATATGGGATGCCTGCCTTGCAGCCAGTGGCTTTACCCACTGTGACACAGTTCCAGCCGCGAGGTGTTGGCAGGATTTTCAGTCTTGATCTTGAAGGAGTCTCCAGTCACCATGCTCTTCCGAATGGCCGGCTGATTTTTCTTTTCAGCGGGCCTCTGTGTGGTGGGATTGTGGGTTTGTGTGGTTCTGGGTGGTTGTTGTGAGATGGGGCTCCCGTGAGGCAGGAGGGTGAGAGGGGGGCTGGTGGGAGAGTGAGGACACAGTGTTTCTCTCGTGGGTTCCCTCAGCTCATCCTTTCTTGGCCATGTCTTTCCCAGGAGCCTTCACGTAAATGGGTCCAGTCATGCCTCCCAGTAAGAAGCCAGAAAGCTCAGGAATTAGCGTGCCCAGCGGACTGAGTCAGTGTTACCGGGGCAGCAGCTTCCCCAAGGCTCTGCAGGAAGACCATGACCTGGACTTCTCGCTCCCTGACCTCAAGCACGAAGAGGGGGCCATGGAGGATGAGGAGCTGACCAACCTGAACTGGCTGCACGAGAGCAAGAACCTGCTCAAGAGCTTCGGGGAGTCGGTCCTCAGGAGTGTGAGCCCCGTCCAGGACCTGGACGACGACACGCCCCCGTCCCCTGCCCGCTCGGACATGCCCTACGATGCCAGGCAGAACCCCAACTGCAAGCCGCCCTACTCTTTCAGCTGCCTCATCTTCATGGCCATCGAGGACTCCCCGACCAAGCGCCTGCCAGTGAAGGATATTTACAACTGGATCTTGGAACATTTTCCCTATTTTGCAAATGCTCCCACTGGGTGGAAAAACTCAGTGAGACACAATTTGTCATTGAATAAGTGTTTTAAGAAAGTGGACAAGGAGAGGAGTCAGGTAAGCCCTCTGGAGGCATCCAGAACTCGAATTTGCTTTGGTTTTGTTTTTGGTTTTTGGTAATCTTTTTTTTTTTCCTTAGTTAAAATAATAATCAGAGTGCTCTCCGTTCAATGGCTGCAAGTAGTTGTAGATGGATTTCATTTGACTCCTGCGGGGATCGGTGATGACGCGCTTCCTGTTTCTACAGCATGGAGTTTGGTGCTATTTTCAGCATTCGGGGTTTTGTGGTGGTTTCCGGTTGGTGTGGTTCCCATCAGCGTGGAGTAGCGACCTGCAGGTGTGACTGACGGTCGGTGTGTGCCCTCTGGGTGGCTGGGGCCTGTCAGGGCTAGACTCCAGCAAAGATTGGTAAGAGAGAAAAAAGAAAAGAAAAATCATTCTTTCTGAGGGCTTACTAACTTGAAGATGAGCTGCTTCTCCAGTGTGCTGGAACTGACAGGCAGTGACAGTGGGGGGAGCCTGGGACGGTGTGTGTGCTGCGAGAGCAAACAGAAGTATGTGTACTGCAGGTGACTTTTTACCAAGCCTGGTACCCAGGAGGGGGGTCATCCAAAAGTTTATGGAAGGTGAAAAAGCTAGCTGAGGATTTCAAGACCCTATTTATACCAGGTTGCATGTTGAAATATCCTGGTATGTCAGTGTTTGTGGCAAGTTTGTAATTCCATGGGTAGGAAGCGGTGGCTCAGGGTAAGGTTCTCTTTAGAGGTTACCTTTAAAAAAAAGTTGACTCTAGACTTGTAAAGCTGTGGCTTGTGCTCCATGGTTGGCTAGGAGAAATGGCTTTGGTTGTTCTCTTTTGTTACCTGGAATATAATAGGTACAAGCGAAACGGAATCTAGTGTCTGAGCAGGAAAACTGTCATCTGAAAGGTGGGAAGTGACGTCACCTCAGTGAATGAGCTGGCAGTGAAGTTTTCTCTGCCGTGTCTTCATGGTCCTGTGTTTCCGGGGTGATGATGGCAGCAGCCATGTACAGCAGGCGGTTTACTTTCTGTGTGTGTGGAAGTCCTGGGTTGGGTGCCAGGGCCACTGTGCAGTCCACAGCCGTGCGAGGCTTGGCTAGGTCATTTCTGGAGCCTGAGGATGTTGTGGTTGTCAGTGGAATGAGAATAAGGATGTGGCCTAGCTCTGTTTCTCAGGTTTATCTGCCAGTGCAGTTCACTGAGAGTCTGTATCCCACACGGAAATGGGGGTGTAGGGCAGGGCTGTTGTTCTTTCATACTCTTATGAAATGTTGTTGTGGCTGGGTGTGAAGGAGCTCGACTGGACGCCTGTCTCGTGTGGTGCAGATGTGCATACCCCTGGGGTGCAGGTCCCCTGCCCAGTGCCTGTTTTGTCACAACCCAGATGTGCAGCTGGTCATCCAGGAGAAGTCTTTGCCGTCCCCAGCAGTCCGCATCCTTTTCTCCTTCCCTCCACATCTTAGTTTGGGCATTTAGAGGCCAGCTTCTGGATGTAGCTCCCTTGGGTGTTTGAAGCCTGGCTGGTGGTGTCAAAAGCTTCTGAAATGCGTTGAGTTCTTGTGACAAGAAAGAGAAGGTCTGGGGAGGTTTTGCCCAGCCTAGAACACGGTGAAGAAAGTGCTGTGCTGGGCCCCCAAGGCCGGGCAGCACCACTTGTAAACAGTCCACAGGTTACCGCATGCCTGAGTCTCTGTTGGACGGAAGGCTGCTGCTCAGAAAGGAGCTTGCCCAATGCACACTCTGAAATGTTAAACAAGACCACCTCCAGAGTGTGCCACCAACGTGGGGGGATGACCCATGTGCCAGCCCTGGCAGGTGATGGGGGTTCTGACACCTGAAGGAATTCCACCTGCTCCTGCCTCCTTTCCCCGCACCCCTACCCACCTGCATTGGATTGTGGGACTCGGCTTTTCTGGAGGTGCCACTTGTCAATCTGGATCAACAGTGATAGCACCTGTTGAAAGGGGATGGCCTTGAACTCGAGGTGGTTCATATTATGAAATGTTGGGTTCTGCCTGCTTAGCTGTACAGACCTGTATTGACACGTTATCTGATCAAATGCCAGTTTTCTTGTTAGGAGTTTGTTCGCAGTGTTTGTGAGAAGGGCTGTGTATTTTGCCTCTTCCCTTGGGGTCACCCCAGGGCCAGCTGGTGACTGCTCTGAGCCACACAGACTTCCAGGTGTGTTTGTGTGGGCTTGAGGGACACTGCCCCCTCTGCCCCATTCATGTGGGGTTGGCCCCTGGGCTCCCTGAGTGAACTGAGAAGATTCCCCACTTTCCCCACCACCACCCCCTCTCCGTGACAACCCTATTGTGCTCCAGGTACAGTTGTTTTTTCCCCAGGCAATTGTCCTTGGCCGTAGTTCCCACTCTGAGGTTTAGCCTAGAGCCAGCGCTTACACAGCACCCAAAACAGTGGTGAGAATTGCATTTGACAGGTGAGAATGGAATACTTACATGTATGCCCTGGGATCGGGCATCCTGGTGAGAATGCAGGATCCTGTGTGGGCCTCGTGCCTGGAGGCTCAGAGTTCACATGGTGCTGGACAGCTGAGGGCTCAACTGTTGGATGAGGAAACATCTGGGACCATTGAAGTAGGGACCATTTCTTGGCCCTTAGTCAGAATCTGGGGTGGCATGGGGTGCTCAGAAACTCCGGTGGGTTTCCCATGGCAGCCGGGAGCCAGGTGCTTCGGGGGAAATTTCTCATCGTTGAGGTTGCTTCAGCACCATCCTCTTCCAAACTAGGGTGCAGCAGGCACTTTTTGTTTGTATTTTATCTTTTTTATTTTTTAAAAAAATTTGTTGGAAAGGCAGGTTTACAGAGAGAAGGAGAAACAGAGAGAAAGATCGTCTTTCCATTGATTCACTCCCCATGAGGCCACAATGGCTGGAGCTGCACCGATTTGAAGCTAGGAGCCAGGAGCTTTTTCCGGGTCTCCCATGCAGGTGCAGGGTCCCAAGGCTTTGGGCCATTCTTGACTACTTTCCCAGGCCACAAGCAGGGAGCTGGATGGAAAGTGAAGCTGCTGGGATTAGAACTGGTGCCCTTATGGGATCCTGGTTGTTGCATGGTGAGGATTTAGCCACTAGGCTATTGCGCTGGGCCTGAGACTGCTGATTTGCTCCCCAAATGACCACTGTAACTGCCAGGATGGGCCACCAGGAACGCCACCCACGTCTTCCTGGTGGGTAATAGGAGCCCAGGCACTTGGGTGATCTTTCAGGTACGTTAGCAGAGCTGGATTGGAAGCAGCGATGCTGAGACTCCAAACAGGCACCTCTCCATGGGATGCTGGTATCCCACGTGGCAATTTAACCTGCTCTGCCAAGATGCTGTGTTCCCACCTCTCTTTTTTTCTCTTTTTTTTAAAGATTTATTTTTCTTGTAAAGGCAGATTTACACAAAGGAGCGAGACAGAAGGCTCTTCCGTCTGCTGGTTCATTTTCTCAGTGGCTACAATGGTTGGAGCTGAGCTGATCTGAAGCCAGGAGCCTGGAGCTTCTTCCGGGTCTTCCACGTGGGTGTAAGGTCCCAGGGCTCTGGGCATCCTCTACACGGAGCTGAATGGGAACTGGAGCAACTAGGACAGAACTGGTGTCCACATGGCATCCCAGCACATGCCAGGCGAGGTTTTCACTCATTTATTTTTATTGTTGCTCCAGTTGAAGTATTTTGAAGCAAATTCTAGGTTACATATAATCTTATTTCCATATATTTCTGTGTGCACAAGAAAACATGATAATTTCTTTCCAGTGTACTTGCCAGAGTCTATATCTCCCACCCCCAAACAAAATGAATAATTCTTTGGAATTATTGCCAGGTAGACATTCTGTATTCATTTAATTTTTTATTTGAGAAAGAGATTCTCCCACTTGCTGATTCATTCCCTAAATGTCTTCAAAGAAACTGGGAGCCAGGAGTCTCCCATGTGGGTGGCACGAATGCAGTCCCTTGAGCCGTCGGAGCCGCCTGCCAGGGTGCATGTTGGCAGGGTGCTGGAGTCAGAGGCAGGACTGGTGCCAGGCGCTGGGCCCTGGGAGAGGCTCCTGCCGCGCTCGAGTTGGGGTCCAAACAGGCATTACCTGTGACCCTGGACCGCACTGTCTCCGCAGCGTCTCCCTTCCCAGCATTCCTTCCCTCTCCTCTCCCTCTTGCCCCTCTTTTAGGGAGCCGTCAGTGAGGACTCCCACTAATTCCGCTGCCTCAGTTGCACCTCGTGGTCACTTTAACTTGTTCTTTCCTCTGTTCTCTGGTTCTTGCTGTCGCTTAGCAGTAAGCTCTAAAGGCTGATCTTCCCACAGCGTGTGCCATAGGTGGTCTTAGGTCCTTCCCCAGGCCTGGGGGACCTGCTCCCTGGGATGCTGAGCTATGGGTTCACGTGGGGTCAGTTCCTACTCTGTAGCATCCCACTCCTGGGGTTTTGTCTATGGCGGAGTTTTGCCTGAGTCGGTCCAGGGAGAGTTCTGAAGTCGCGCATTGGACCTACATACAGGTCTCAGGGCTGTGAGAGTAGCGTGTCTGAGTCCTCGCAAATGCCAAGTGAAGGACGCTTCTTCCTTATAGATGGGGTTGTAACGACTCCAGTATGTGCCTTTTTATTTTTGGTGCCTTCTCTTTGCTTATTCTCTTGCCACTTGCACAAAAATTACTTGTCATCAACAGCCTTACAAGGGACGCCTTGGGCAGAAGCATGTGTGTACCATTCGGGACTGAGTGCCTGGAGGCCTGTGTTAGCTTGTGCCTTGTAAAGAGAGCTGTTAGTCTTGGCTAAAAGAGGTCTGCATTGGAAGGGCCCTGGGTGCTGGTGAGTTTTGTTGTAGGTAATGTTGTTTGTTTCTTGCTTTGAATGGCGGAGAGGGATCCCTTCCCTGATGCCTCCCAGCAGCCTGGCTGGGCCACTCTGAAGTCGCGAGTCTGCAACTCACCTGTGAGTGCCAAGGACCCGAGAATTGCTTCTCAGCAGCAAGTTGGGTCTTGAGCAGAGCCGGGATTAGAACCCGCAGACTCTGAGCCGTGCCATGCTGAGGCA